ACATACACACATCATCTCCCCCTCCCTCAAATAAAAGCTCACCCACAAACCTCTGGTCCACTGTAAGAATTCCCCAGAATCCTAAGCTCCAGAGACCAGGGAGCCACCTGCTTCAGTCCCTCCCCATAGGCTATAACATCTCCTACCTCCTTCTGCTCACATATCCCCAGTGACAGGGAACTCACCACCTCACCCAATGTGGCCTGGCTTCCACCCTGCTTGTGGCCCTGTCAGAATCTGCCTGCCTCCCTCTGGCCCAACACTCGTGTCGGGAACACGGATGCTGCCTAAAAGAGCCGTGTGCCCATGGCTACACGGTGCCCAGGGAGTGGCTCCGGCCAAGTCTGCAAACGATTAGCTAACAAAGATGGCATTCATCAGATGGAGGGGAGGGCTGATCCCCACTCCATGCCGTATGTACGCTGCTGCTGGCCTTGGAGGCCAAGTGACCCTTTGCCAAGACCGGCTTGTTTGGGTTCGGGCAAAAGTAATCACAATTTGGGGTCTTGTCTCTACTTGAAACCTATTGAGTGAACCAAACGGCCCAGGCCCTGGCGATTTCAGATGCCGGCTGGGCTTTTAGCACTAATTAGCCACAGTTCAAGAAGTCTGGCAGCCCTGGGGTAAACAAGTAACAAGGCAAGCTTGCAAGACCAGGGAGAGAAACGCAACAGAAAGTTGAGGTTTGGGGGTTTTTTTCCCCTCTAGATTCAAACAACTTTTTTTAAAAAATTAAATTAAACCTACAGCGCTACCAGCAAGAGCCTGCAAGGGCTCAACCTGCCTCTCACTCCAACCCCTGGACGAGGAGCCACACCAGCCCAGTCTTCAACTCCCTCCTCCGCCACTCTGGCCACTGGGAACCCACTTGGCAAAACGTCCACTTAGCACAAAAGAAGCCAGAGATTAAGGGCAGGTCATTTGATTAAGAGAGGTCATTTAGCCCCGTCCTTATTTTACCGATGAGGAAACTGAGGCCCAGAGAACTTCAGGGACTCGTCCAAGGTCACAGAGCCACTAAGTACCAGATCTGAGCGGAGGTGTTTCCCCATCTGTGCTCCACTGCCTTCCTGTGCCTAAGGGAGATAGTAGGATCAGCCTTAGACCCGCCTGGAAGGGAGTGCCCGAGTCATTGGGGCCCAACCGCCTTCATTTTAGAGGTGAGCAGACAGAGAGGAAAAGACTTAACCAAGTTCATTCTTCACGGTGACCAGGAACCAAAGTTTATTCTCACTGTCTTCCCTCTCAGTGGACAGCGGCACAGAAGGACGTCGAACAGTTCACACCAGCAGCCTGATCCCAACTCTTGGAACCCCTGGGAGGAAGCCAGAAGGCCTGAAGCCTTCTGAGGCCAACTGGGCCCAGGCCTCCCCTCCAGCATCTGGATTTTTCTGAACCAAATCCCTTCTGTCCCAGAGATCACAGAATGATAACAAGTAAAAAGCCAGAAGTGACTTCAATGGTCATCCTTTCCAGCTCCTTTTACAGAAAGGGAAACTGAGGTCCAGAGAGGAGAAATTCTTGGTCACATAGCGAGAAGGGCTACATTGCACTATACTCTGAGAGCCCTGCATCACCGTGGGCCACAGCTCCTCAGTTTCTAACGCTGGCTAATGATGACGATGATGATGATGAAGATGACAGCAATCCAGACGGATCAGATGGGAATGAGGGGATCAATGAATCCGACAAAGCGGGAGTTTCTCTCCCACCACTGTTTTCCTACAACACCAACTTAGAGCTACCAGAGCACTGATCGAGAACTCAACGGAGCCCAGTCCAGCCCGTCCCTTTAGAGAGGGAGGAAAGCTGAGGTTCCGAGTCAGGAAGCAAGCTAAGCTGGCCAGGGTGACCCCTCCAGAGCTGGGACTAGAACCCAGGCTTCCTGACTCAGGCCAGGGCCTCCCCCACACCCCCACACACTGCTTTCAGCCTGGAGCACATGCTGAGCACGCAAGGCACCAGACGTGGCACCGTGGCACGAGGGGTTTGGAGAGGGGGGAGGGAAGGGAAGACGGCGATGGGGAGGGGGTGGGGGGGGTGAGACAAGGTGGAGGAAGGAGGCGAGATGGAGGGCGGACACACAGGCTCCCTGCCCTCAAGGATCTTACATTCTCTTCCACAGAGGAGGAAACCAGATCAGTGAACTCACATTAGCCAACTTGCTGGGTGAGCTGAAGCAAATTGCCTAATGTGAGTTAACTGTTCTAGTTATCGGAATTCAGTCTTCGAATCCCCGGCCGGGCCCTCCGTCCCAGAGCTGCTTCCTGCTTAGCGGCTTCTCTCTCAGGAGCGCGGCTCACACGTTCGGCCAGTCGTTACTGAAAACCTTCTAGGGTGCAAGGCCCTTGAGGAGCTCGTGGTTGGAGAAATGAGACAGCACACACTCACGCACACAAGGGGGGTGGAGGAGGGTAGCGATCACTGACATAAGACACAGCAAAACACTTAAGTGAAAAATGCCAAATGGGGAAGACAGACAACTTCAGGACAAGACGGGGGTTGGAATGGTCAAGGAAGAAGGCATCATGGCGGAGGGGAGGCTTGTGCTGGGGCTTGAAGGATGATCAGGAGGACAGGGAGGAAGGAGGAGGGAGAAGGGGAAATGACCCAAGGCCAAGCACAGAGGCAGGAAGGTCGCAGGGTGGAGGCAGGAGATAGGAAAGGGAGGGCAGCGAGGAGGCCAGTCTGGGCTACAGCTGAAGTTGTGTGTCGAAGCTTGGATGGGACGGAACCACAGAACCTTAGAACGGCAACAGACCTCAGGGAAGCTGGGGCCCAAAGGGGACCAGGAGGAAAATACCCTCCTCTGGCCAATGAGTGGTGAGCCAGCAGCCACAAGCTGAACCAAGTCACAGCCCCAGGGGCTCTGTCCTGCAGATGGATAATGGAGAACCATCGGAAGAACTCTGATCGAGAGGAGGGGACGCAGAAAGCAGTTATTTTTTTTTGGAAGACCGACCTGGTGAGTTAGCTCAGAAATGATGGATGTTAGGGGTCTATTATGCCAAGACCCTGAAGTGGGGAGAACAGTGAAGGGAAAGGCCAGGCTTAGGGAATACTTCTGCTTTCAACGTTCTGCCCTCTATTAGACTCTAAGCTCCTTGAGGACAGGGACTCTCTTTGTATCCCCAGTGCTTGCCACATTGCATTGTTAGTTAACAATCCTTAGACAAGCATTCGCTCATTGACCTGACCTGACAGGCCAAGCCAAGTCCACCATGGAGACCATGGATGGCCTACAGCTATCTCCAGCCCTCATCGCTGCCCAAAAGGGGAACTGCATCGGAGAATGACTCAGAGTTCTGGGAAGCGGAGGCTTTGCACTCCTCATTTGTAACATAAATGTTTTGAGCTAGGTCTCTTCCATGCTAACATTCTGATTCTATGCCCTGGCATGCTCAATGGACTGCCATGTTATTTCAATATGGCAGCCTGGACCATATAGCAAGGCCTGTGCTTTTAGTACTAATTTTGCTGTTAGACATAGATCCAAAGTGCCTAGACACTGACTGCTTTCACACCAAGAGACTCACATTCATTAGGACATGCTGTGGGAAAACACACTGAAGTCAGCAAACCCAAGGACCCTCCAACTTTGGAGGTACAGGCAGAACCAAGTGGGACAACAGCTCCAGTAGATTAGCCAGTCGGGCCTCGTTAGCCTTCCCCATTCACACTCTCTAGCCACAAGAGCCCGAAACAACCAATATAACCAATGAACCCAAGGTTTTCCCAGGAGAACCACAGTCCCGGTCAACCGGTCTCACATCAGCCTTTTCACCACCAAACCTGACTTTACCCGATCTCTGGCCTATCCCAAGGAGAAATAAGCAGGACTCCAATTCACTCCAAGGAACAATGGAGTTGTTCTCCCCCCCGCCCTGGTCCAATCTCACCTCCCAGAACACTGCTCGTAACCGATGGGTCATCATCATTCTCCAAACACTCTATTCTGAGACAGAAGAACTTTCCATGAAAGGATCTGAGTTCCCCAATACTGGGCTCTAGTTCTTTTTCTAGATGCTTTTGCCCATGTCTAAAACTCCAGCTTCCTTAAGACCGGGCAGTCAAGAGCGGCCATTGGAAAGATGGCCCTCTCCTCTCCACCACAGAATCGAGGCCTGACGCCTCGGACTTCCCCTCACAGAGCCATTCAACAAAAGCCAATGGAAAGGAGGCACCCTAATGCACCCAACCAACCACTCTGGAGCCATCTCCCCATGAACAAACATCGATTAAGCACCTACTATATTCCGTGTCCTTCACATAACACTCACCTCCAGGCTCAACAGAAAGTAAGAATCAACAGAATGCCTAAAACCTCTTCCCTCATCCACCAAAAAAAGCCTAACCAATCAGCTCGTCAAGGTTTGAGTTGGGACCAGAGACACCAAAGGAACTTTCTGGGGGAAGGGGGAACGTCTCTTAGTCAGACCGTAATCCTTAAGTACCTCATTCAAGGAAGAGACCAGTTTGGAGGACATAAGAGGAACCCGAAAAAGCTAGATCAATATTTTTGAGACTGGATTATCAGGCAAACTACTTATGTCCCAGGACAAACATTTCAACCAGGGAGCAGACAACATAACCCTCCCTCTTCTCCTCTAACTCAACTGTGCTCGGACAGCACTCCTTTCCTCACAGCCCGCTCCCTCACATCACTTCCAGAAACACAAACTTGAGGCTTGTTTTGGCGGTGTTTTTAAAGAAAAAAGCCATCACGTTTATTGGAAAGCCAGGCAAGGGGCACAGGGCCCACTCTGAGGCCGCCCTCTCACCTGGCGGAGAACACATTCAGACTTATTCCCACCATTACACCATGTCGACAACGTCGGCGATGATGGACCAATCCCCAAGGCAGAACGCTGTTAGGTTTGGGGGAGTGAGGGAGGAGGGGGGAAAGGGAGAGCGCCAGACCTCTGCCAGCTTTGCATCCTCCAGAAGTCCGAGTTACCCAACCCTGTAATTATCACTCGGATTAAAAATTGGTTACTCACGTAATCGTGAAAGGCCTTGGCTTCACTCGAATGCTCACAAGTGTCTCGTCTCTCGGGAGCAGCACAGTAAAGGTCCCAGAAAACACTGCAGGATAGAAAAATCAGATCCAATACAGTTACTAACAACCCCTCGGTACTACCCCCCACCCACCCTGTACAGACACACACTGAGTCCAGAAAACAAATTCCCAATAGAAAAATAACAAATAACACACAAGCGTGGCTTGGTGGCAAGATCTGACTCTGGAATCAGAGGATGGGGGGCAAAATTCCACCTCTGATGATGACTAGGCTAGGACTCAGTTTCCTTCTCTGTAAAATGGGGTTGTTGTAGATGCCTCCAGTGGTCCCTTATGGTCCTGTGTCTAGAACGCTATGATATCCCACATGGATACCATTTATGAAGCTCCAAAGGTACAGGAGCCATTATCATCCTTATTTCACAGAGGATGAAACTGAGGAACTTTATCCACGACCTCGATTTGAATTCCAGCTCTGCCACCTTGTGTGACTTTGGGCAAGTCAATTCCCCATTCCAGGCTTCCTTTTTCAACTTTAAAACAAAGGAGTGAGTCTCTCTAAGCATTAACCTTGGGCCAGTCACACTAAAAGTCAAGCAACTTGAGAAAGTCACCAGAAGTTAAGACTAGAAACCCCTTGAGGGCAGACTGTGTTGTTGAGCTTCTCTTTGAATCCCCAGGGCTTAAGGCAGAGCCCGGCCGTGTAAGTAGATGATTAATAAATGTTCACTGATTGAGAGACTCAGCGAGAATGGAGTTTAGATTGAAACTCAAGTTCCCTCTGACTTCATGCATCCAATACTTCTTCCCCATCCCAATTCTGGGCCTCAGTTTCCCAATCTGTAAAAAAGAGGGAGTTGGCTAGATAGCAAGTACGCTCCCTACATCTAAGATCCTTTGACACCGTAGACTCAAGCCCAGCTACTCACACAAAATCACCCCCAACACACTGTCGCCGCCTCCTCCCAAGACAGCAGTTTTTGTAAAGCAAAAATTATGGCATCTTGAGACATTTTAAAAGGCACAAATCGGCACGTGACAGAGCGAACAATGATGAAGGCGGAAGGAGGGCAGAGTCACTGAAGGAGGCCTAAGTCTCAACCCCAGCCTCCAGCCCCCACCCCACCCCCACATAATGGCTCTGCAGGGAAGGACTGGAGGCCAGAAGCACTTCTCCCACCCACCCACCCACCCACCCAAGAATGCATACCAATTACCCAGAGAGGTTCTCATGGCAACCAGGTATTTCTCCCTTTTATGGTGAAACAGTAAAAGTCCTGGCAAGTTCTAGGCCAGGAATCTGAAACAGGTGTAGTTCCAAGAAACAGAACAAGTAGAATTTTCCTTTCCTAAGTCACTCAAGGCATCTCCCCCACCCCCCAAATTTTAAAAATCTTTAGGCTCCCAATGGGAAAGCCTTAGGAAATAATCTGGTCTGAGCCATTCATTTTAACAGGAGGAAATGGAAGATTGGAAAGGTCCATGGATAGATGAAGGAAGACAATAATGATGATAATAACAACAGACATTTATATGGTACTGTAAAAAACCTTCACATAGATTATTTCTTTGATCCTCCAAAGTTTTACGATCTAAGTGCAATAATGATCTCCATTTTACAGATGAGGAAACTGAGGTCCACAGAATGACTTGCCCAGGGTCACACAGCTAGTTATTGTCTGCAAGTGGATTTGAACTCAGGCTCTGCTGACTCCAAATCCAGTATCTATCTGCCACACCATCTCAAAGAAACACAGCAGATATTATCAGCCTTTATCATGGGTCCTTTTCAAAGGTTTTGCTGAATAGATGCTACTTTCACCAGTGGCTGGGACTACATGCCCAGTTAGGTACACAGTGCTCAAAAAAAAAAAATCCCTGTGGTTACTAACAGCCAGCCCAAAAAGAAAAAAAAACGTGAGAGAGAGAGCGAAAACAGATAGAACACCAAGTGAAGTCAGCACCACCCCTGGCGTGCCCATCCAGCCTGGTGAGGCTGGAAACTGCACAGCCCCCGGGCCACACCTGTGCACCTCGCCTCCAGGGGAGGTGCCTGAAGGGAAGAACAGGAAAAAGCAGGTTCACAACCTGATGGAAGAGGGGGAAGGGAGGGCAAGGCAGCAGAGGCCAGGATTTGGTCTCCAGACTCAGGAACGGCACTTTCTATGTGCAAGGCCCCCCAGTCCTGCTAGATCAACCTCTGCCTCCCTCAAAACAAGCCTGGCTCTTTCCCTGCCCCCCAAAATGCTGCTGCTTCTTAAAGTGAGGACCACGAAGACTAGTTCTGAAATCCGGAAAAATCATTTCCAACTCATTTCTCTGTAGCCGTTCCCACAGGTGGTCACGCCTGCCTGCTCAACAGAACTTCCGATTGGAGTTTGGGGCTTCCACCCTCCCCACATTCCACTATCCCCACTGATAAGGGTTGGAGAGAGGGGAGAGTTGGCCAGGCTGGGGAGTCAGTGGGATTTCTGAAAATGTCACTGCCAATAAGGAGTCTCCCCCACTCCCCATATCAGAGATGAAATACTATGACATCACAAAATGTCACACTGTTTTTCCATGAGATAGAGAGAGAGGCTTTCATGGACTAGAGGACAGGGAGATGGGGTATCAAGAATTGGGAGGACTTGGGTTCCAACTCCCATACAAGCTGGCCAAGTGACCCTGGGGCAAAACTTAACCTCCCCATGACCCTGGGCACCCCTGGGTAGAGGGGGAGGGCCCTCCCCAGTTGTCCATACTAAGGAAAGCATAAGGATGAAAACAACAACAAAATCTAAAATAATAACAAAGTGCCCAAGAATGGCTCAATTTCTTTTATTTTGGAATTTCCCCCAACTCCTTTTATTCAGGGGGCAAAAGGCTGACTACTCTCTCAGATATGAAGCCCCCAAAAGTTTTGTAGTGGTGCTGAAAATCTTTTGTGATAAAAATGAGTGCATCTGGCTGCTCTAGCTACTTAACCGAATAATTAAAAGGTAAATTAAATTCCCCTAAGACTTCAAGGTTTGCAGCAGGCTACAAACAAAATCTTCCTGGCTACCTAAAGAGGTTTCAGTAAAAAGTATCCCCACTACAAAATCCGGCTTCAGTCTGTCTGTCTGTAGTCTTTCTAACAGTTAAAGATGACGTCCTAGAATGCGGGGGCGACAACACTGGACAATCTAGTCTGGTCATTCTGAAGAATCAGAAGAGAAGGAAGCCATCCCTTCAGAAGGAAATATAACAGAGACAGACAGACAAGGAGAAAGAGAGAGGAGAGAAAAGGGAGGGAAGGAGGGGGGGGTGGGGAAGGCACACAAACACCCACAGGCATGGTCTAGGCTACAAGAATGACTAGGAGGAAGGGAGCAGGAGGCCCCTAGGTTGTAAACCAGACCTGGTGGTATTCTGCCCCACCCCCTCCCCCTTTAATTAAAGCAGTATGCAGAACTGCCTTTAAAAAAAAAAGAAACCCTTACATTTCCTCCCAGCCTCCAGCATTCCTGCTACACCTGGGGGGGGGGGTAGGGAAAAATGAAAGCTTCTCTCAAGCCCCCCAAAATCAGAAGCCTCAATTTCTTCACCTCTCAAGGAAATGGAGGAGAAGCCAGAACAGTGCCAAACTTTCTGTCCTCCCCCTTTCTTTGGGCCCGCGTCTAAGACTTGTTAGTATCACTGCTGTTCACATTAAAAAGCCGAGACACAAACTTACCACCACCACGAATGTAAAAACCCTGGCGGTTCTCCTAACGTGATATTTTTTTCCCATCGGATCTAGAAATAGGAAAAACAAAGAGAGAAGGGAGTTGGGTGTGGAGTGGGAACCTGGGGTTCACTCCCTCTGGGAGGGGGAGGGCTCAGAGACCAACTAGCAATAAATGGCAAAAGGTGATAAAAATTCAAAATGGTGCCCACCGTGGCTGCTTGGGAAAACAAAGGCTATCGGGATAATAGACGAGGGGGGGGTCCGGGATTCAAACGTACTCACCTCGGACAAAAAGGTCTGGGCTGACTTCTGGGCTCCCACGTGTAGCAAGTATTCATAGACATATAAAGCTAACCTGCAAGGGGGTGGGGGCAAAAGTTGAAGAAAAGTAATCAGTCAGGAAGGAGTCTCTTTCCTAGGACACCCAGCTACCCCCCTCCGTGGACTCCCTACCCACCCGTCCCTGTCGGATTGGAAAAAATGAGCGTCCTCTCTCCAAGTGGAATAAGAGGGGGGCCCCTACTGTTGCGAAGGTGAGCCCCAACGGGGCATCAAAAAAGCGAGCCCACTCTGGGCTCCCGTGTCCCGACCATGGGCTGGGTGCCGGACAAAACTCAATTGGCTAACTCTTCGGCCCGACCCGTCTCGGCTGGTCCCAGTGTTCCCAGCACCGGGGGCTGTCCAGCAAAAGGCCTGGGCTGCCAGGAAGGAGAGCGGACAGCCAGCCCCCTAAAACCCTGGAGGACTCGTTCAGGGGTCTTTGGGGTGCCCAGGCTTCGGGCATGTGTGCTAGAGGTGGGAAGAGCAGAGGCCAAGGCTGACCACCCTTCTCCAATAGCCCCCCAACCCACCCCCCAACTCCTCCCTCCAGCACACTAGAGACAGAAAGCAATAGTGGGGAGCGTCGGGGAGGGGGCTCTACGCTGGGTCAAGGCAGCAGGAAAGGTGCTGCGGCCCCCGGAACAAAGCCGCCAACACACTTCCCAGTGCACACTCTCTCTCTCTCTCTCTCTCTCTCTCTCTCTCTCTCTCTCTCACATACATACACACGCACGCACACACATGAAACACACACACACACACACACACACACACACACACACACACACACACACACACACACACACACACACACACACACACACACACACACACACACACACACACACACACACACACACACACCCCCCCACACCAAGGGACAGACAAAAGGAGGCATCCGGGCTGCAGAAATGCCCCCACCTGGGAACACGAGCCCCGCACTCTGCGCCCCTAGAGCCCGGACGCCCCTCCCCCCCTCGCGCTTGCCCCCAGCCCACCCCCGGCCCGGACGCCCCTTCCCGGGGCCCCAGGCTCCCGCTCCCGCTCGGGCTCCCGCTCCGGCTCCGGCTCCTCCTCCCTGCACTCCCAACAATAGAGGCTACGCTCGGAGCACGCTGGCGGCCCGGGGCAGGGAGCGGCGGCGGGGGCCCCGTCGGGCAGCGGCTGTTCGTCCGCCCGCCCGCCGGGCCCCGAGCTGCCCCTGCCCCGGCCCCAAGCTGCCCCTGCCCAGCCAGCCGGGCGCACGCCCCGCGCCGCGCCGCGCCTCGCCTCGCCGCTCCCCTCGGGCGGCAGCGGCAGCAGCAGCGGCAGCGGCCCGTCCGCCCCCTCCGGCGGCAGCAGCGGCAGCGGCCACGCCGACCCCCGCGGACCCCGCTTACTTTTCCCGAGCCTGCCCGTCCGAGGGCACCGCCGAGCCTTTGCCTTTGGCGAACATAGTGCGCGGCGAGGAGGGGACGCGGTCGTGGTCGTGCTCGTGGTCCCGCCGCCGCCGCCGCTCCGCTGGCCGCCTCCCGGGGCTCCCTCGCTCGAGCTCCCCGCCGCCGCCGCCCCGGCCCCGCTCGCCCCGTCTCTCTCCGGCTCGCTCGCTGGCTCCCGCCCCCCGGCCCGGCCCGGCCCGGTCCGGCTCCCGCTCCGGCGCCTTCCCTCGCTCAGTCCAGCTGTCAAAGCCTCAGCCCCGGCCTCGACCCCATCGCCCTGGGACGGTTCGGGCTCGGGCGGCTGCAGATGCTGCTGCTGCTGCCGCTGCCGCTGCTCCGGCCGCTGCTCCGGCTGCTCCGCTGCGCGGCTCGGTTCGCTCTGCACCTGCCCCTGCCTCCCTCCTTAGCGCTGGCTCCGCCGGGCTCGGGCTCGGGCTCGGCTCGGGTGGCTGCTCCGCCGCCGCCGCCGCCGCCGCCGCCGCCGCCGCCGCCGCTCTGCTGGGAAGCTCAACCGAACGTGGCTACCCGGGAGGATGGAACGCGGCGGGCGTCAACGTTCCACAATTGATCCGCGCCTCGGCCAATCGGCGCGGCCGGGGGCGGGCTCGCGAGCCAGCGGGGTGGCAACGTTGTGTGTGCTCGGGGACCGCCGCCGCCGCCGCAGCAGCCAGGCAGCAGTAGCAGCAACCAGGGAGGAGCAGCAGCAGCAGCCGCCGGGCAAGGCAGCCAGGCAAGGCGGGCAGGCAGGCCCCTCTGTGCTCGGCCTTTGCGCCTGTGTCTCCCGCTCCGGCTCCTGCTCAAAGCTGGGGACGCTGCTGCATGCCTGCCCCGTGGGGGGCCGCGCGTGGGCTCTTTAAAAATGAGAGCGAGGGAGAGAGAGAGAGAGAGAGAGAGAGCGAGAGAGAGAGAGCGAGAGAGAGGGAGAGAGAGAGGTGGGAGGGGGGCTCAGGGGTGGGGGAAGGGCTCTGCCCTCAGCGAGGGGGCTGTGCCGGTCCAAATCCGGGGGGCTAGGGCCCAGGGGAGCCGTTCCTTCGGGGCCACCTCCCCCCTGCCACCTACCCCCGCCCGATCCGGGCTTCTAGCTGAGCGAGGGAGGAGGGCTCCCTCCCCGCCTCCCCAGTGGAGGCGAGGGGGACACCGAGGCGGGAGGGCTGGAGTCCCCAAGCCGAGAGCTTCCTTGCCGACCATACACTAGCCATTCGCGAAACTTCAGTTGAACCACATTGGGGAAAAGGGGCCCCTTGCCATTGTGGGGGTGACCCAGGTGCACAATGGAAAACTGGGGAATGGGGGGAGAGATCTAGGAGAGATCCCCGGTCAAAAGAGAAAGCCACCAAAAGTCCAACCCGTGTGGATCTTACGAGATCAGAAACTGAAGTTGGGGGGCCTAAGGGGAATGCTCCCCCATTTCCAGAACTCCTTTTTTTTTTTAAGCGCGTTTCTCTTTAAATGTGATATAACACGAAGGGTCCTGTCTCTTTAAAAGAGTCGAGCTGAAAAAGCTGTGTAAGCGCTGATTGGCTGCCTCTTTGGATACATCTTTAGGGGAGCCTTGAAACTGTTAGCCTGGGTTGATTTTTTTTTTAACTGCGCTGTTCCAATAAACAAGTCACGCCCCTCCCCCTTACATGCCTATCACCAAACAATTAAAGTCTAGGTCAGTGTCCTGGGGAAAACACGTTTCAAGTAGAAGTCGAACCCAGATTTAAGCAAAATAAAGAAAATATTCTCCCCCTCCTCCTGCCTATTAAAGTTTACTTGCTAATTCTGTCTGTAAAGGGGTAGAAGGGCTTCTCCCTCCCCCCTCCCATATGCCAGCATCTGCATTGGTTTAAAAAGGAGGCTTTGGTGCTTAAATGTAGCAACCACCTCCCCCACATATGATGATCTGTCCCGACCTCTGGGTCCTAATCCTGACTTAATCCAATCCCTGCAGAGATGCAGAGCTGGCTGGAAAGGGAAGGACCTAAGAGGAGGGAGGCCCCCGGGTTGGGGACCGTGCAGAGATCTTTCAGTGGTGTGTGGGCGCCCCCAATTTAAAGGCTGTTCGGTTTTGTGAATGGAAGCTGGGGAGGCCGTGCAATTTCATTCCTTGTGGGTGGGAGAAAGGAGAGCAGAATCCTACTCTCCCTCCCCAGCCCCCCAGGCCGGTTCGTTTCTCTGGAGGACCCTTTAAAGTCCCTCTGAGCCCAGGTTCATTAAACTAGCCTGCCCTCAACCCCTCCCCCAACTGCTGAACTTCCTTCCTCCGGAGCTTGGTGGGCTAGTGATCGCCGGGAAGGCTGGCTGGTCTACCGCCCGTCTTGGCCTCTGCAGCCACTGAGCCGGCTAGCTCTGGGTGCAGGCTGGCTTCAGCAAGCCAGCCACAGAGCCTGTTTGCTTACACTGTTCTTCCTAGGGGCAAGGTGTCGGAGGGCTTCAGTGGATGAGTTTAAGTATAAAACAATAAAAGAAATTGCTATGTGCCTAGACTCGGTGTTTTCCAAGTGGCCTGAGGCCTCTCCTTCTTCACCTTAGGCTCCTAGATTCCTGCAGCGAGTCAGGGCTGGGAGGGACCTTAGCATCTCAAATGGTAAAGCTGGGAGGAACATTAGCGGGTAGTAGAGAGGACACAGAATGTCAGACAGGAAAGGGGTCTGAGACCACGGAATGGCAGAGCGGGGAGGGGCTTCAGAACATAGATTATTATGTTCTAATAACAGATCTAATAATAGATAATAATAATAGATTAGAACCGAGAGGGAGCCTAGAACACAGAACGTCCAAACTGGGAGTGACCTTAGAATTCTAGAATGCCAGGTTTGGAGAGACTTTAGAACATGGAATGTCCGGGCTGAAAGTGACCCTAAAATACAGAACGTCTTAGAATGCATGGAATGTTAAAATTGGAACCCAGAATGTCCCAGCTGAGAGGAACTCCCACATCTGTGAGATATACATACATACACATGTACATACACACACACACACACACACACACATATATACATATGTGCATATGCCTCAGTTACCTTCTCTGTAAATGGATTGTTCCAGATAAGCTCTAGATCCCTCAGAACTGGAAGCTCTAAGCTGCTATGATTTCTCCTCCTTTCTTCTTCCCACACCCCAATTAAATGACTGACAAGGGTGATCATGAAAACCGTTACTGGCATCTCTTCTGTTAGCACATCTGGCAGATTGGGGTGGATGGCATCCAGCATGCTGAGAGCCCTTGCCTGTTCCTGGGTCATCATGCCAGGCTTGGCTGGCCCTAGGCACGTGATGGTGAATGAGGTAGGCATACCCTAGAGGTGAAAAGGGAGAAAAGTCCCGGTATAAAGACCAGGCAGAGAAATGGGGCTGGGGAAGGGGGATGGGAGAGAGAAGGGAGGGAGCCAGCTTGGCTCCGGGGAGAGAAGCCCTGGGCTGAGATCTGAGAGAGATTTTGAGTTCTCTTTTGGCGCTGTCCCTGCTGGACTTTGTGATCTTGAGTAAGGTTATTTCACAACTCTGGGGCTCAGTTTCTTCATTTGTAAAAAAAAAGTTAGTTGCAGTTCTGCTTGCTTCCTTTTCCTTGAATATCCAATGTGCTAATATATATGGGCCTCAGTTTCTTCATCTGTAAAATAAGGAGGCTTCATTAGAAGATTTAAGCACTTTCTTCCTGTTCTTAACTTCATGGATATATGGGACACCCACTCCTTGAACAGAAAAGGCATCTTAGAACCATCAAGCCACAGAATGATAGGGTTGGAAGAGACCTTCAATTCCAGGGAGTGAAAGAAACTTGCTTAGGGCTATACATTAAGTTAGTGCTAGCCTGCCCCCTCCCCCCAAAAAAACATCTCTTTGCTGCTACCAGAGTGCCTACAGAGCAAGTAGGAGGGGGCAAGTGGTTAGGGTTGAGGACCTCGCCCAGTCCAAGAGCAAAGGGCTTCTCAAATATGGGCACCACTTAACAACATGGGAACCAGACAAAGAGAAATAGCTTCTCCCAAATTTACAGCCAGTTCCTTCCATGCTTCTTTCCTTCTCTCTCTCTAGTTTTGTTTCCTTCCTAACCTCCTTCCCCCTGTCCTTCCTTCATTTCCTTCACTCTTTTCTTTCACTTTTCCTCTGCCTCATCCCTTCTCCCTCTCCTGCCTTCCTTCCTTCCCTTCTTTCCTTTTCTTCCTCCTTCCTTCTCTCTAGCTCTTCCCTTATCTCCTTCTCTCCTTTCTTCATTTGCTCCCTCTTTCCTTCATTCCTTCTTTCCTTTCTTCTTTACCTCTCTTCCTTTTCTTTCCTTCATTCCTTCTCTTCCTTCTTCCTTTCTTCATTCTCTCTCCCACTTTTCTTTTTCTCTCTTTCGCTCTCCTTTCTTCTTTCCTACTCTCCTTTCTTCCCTCCCTCCTTCCTTTTCTAAATCAATCTTTTCCTCCCTTCTTCCCTCCCTCTCCATTTCCTTCCCTCTTTCCTTTTTTCATTCCCTCTTCCTTTTGTCTCTCATTCCTCTTCTCCCTTCTTCCCTCTCTCCCTATTTCCTTCCCTCTTTTTTCTTCCATTTCTCCCTCCCTCTTCTCCTTCCTTCCTTTTCTCTCCCATTCCTTCCATCCGCCCTTTGCCACCTTCCCATTTCTTTCTCTCTTCTCCTCCTTTCTTCTTCCTTTTTCCTTCCTTTCCATCTAGTCTCTTCACCAGCCACTTTAGGTGAAGGGGTGCAGTAGAGTGGGGGGGGGGGAGTTTATGTGGGAGAGCAGTTCCCTTGGTCCACCAGCTTATCCCTAGCATAGCCTGAAGTCACTGAGCCCATCTTAGGAGCTCCCAGCCTCCAAATGGAGCCAGCCCCTGGTGCCTACTGCTCTGGCCAGCCTGCAGTTTGCCCTGCCCCACGGAGGAAATGGAAGAAGCTCCCAGCTGGAAAGGAGCCAGTGCCTGTTTCAACATAAATATCTGAGACAGCCAGCAAAGAAGAAGGGGGAGGGGAATAGGGAGGAAAGGCTTGAGGTTCAAAATCCAAAGCACTTGAATGTTGCTTCCAAGAGGTGAGTCCCTG